GCAACTTCTTCATAGATCTGAGATAGGATAATCGGCATCAGACTCATCTGAAAGGATAACACTTATTTTAGGCATTCTGGAAAACATGCATGGAACAGAGGGAGGGGGGGGGGTCACACCGCTGTGAGAAATTTGGTCTCCTAACGGGTTCCCAGACGGTTCACAAAGTTAGCTTTTGGGCTACAAGGGTTATCACGACAGTGGGAGTGATTTCCGAAAACACAACACCTCTCCCTTCCCGATCAGTGCCCATTGTTGTTGAGAAATCCACACCAAGGGTCGTACTTTTGTTGCGAAGGAGGGAAATGGTTCGTGTGTGGGCAGCTCTAAGAGGATCCGGTGTTAGTGAGATTTAGCGGAAAAGTCTTTGATGTACTTTTCTTTTTGGGGCTAGGATTTGCCGTACTCACCCTCCTCTCTCGCCGAAAGAAACAAAAAATCTACGGAAAAATTCGAAAGTGTGTGTAGAGGTATAATATTTGGAGTTGTTTCGGTACGTGGTGGAAGAGAGGTTCTTGATTCTTGCCAATCGCTAATCGCGCGACTCAGTCGCTCGAGTCGCGAAGTATGAACGCACCTCAACCAGACCGCGAACGAGTTTAATGCGACCGACCGCATTTTTCCCTTAGGTTGATGAGGATAGTACTCTGTCAATGGTCACTCACTTTCTCCGCTTCTTCAAACTTCGATGAACGCGATACTCAGTGAGGACACTGAGTACGAGGATCGTGGTGACAGGACCGACTGTTTGAGTCAACGTCATCAAAATCGCCTTGTATCGTGTGAACTGAAAACAGGCAATTCTAAATGAGATCAACTATAAATCTGTGACTCGCTTCGGACTTTTCAGGGTTTCATCGCAGCTCATTTTCAGTAATGTATGAATTAACCCACAGAGGCGAACGCAGTTTTTCCCACAATGTCAAAGTAGACGTGACTCCCAGTGGAGTTACAATTACAATGCCACCTAGAGAAATAGAAAGCATTAGGTACAATACAGATTACTGAGATGCCACTAGGTTCTTAGGCAGTAACCCGATACTAGAACTCTGCCTACTTTGCCTAAGTGTGCCGAGCGCGGAGGTGGGAAAGGAGGCCGTGACGGCTGCAGTGGGACAATAACTGGTCCGTGCTCCATGTCATGCGCAAGGAAAGCGGGTTGGGAGTGGATGTGTGACACTTTCTTCATTAGACAGTGCGCGGAAGTGGGGTGGGAGAGGGTGATGACTAGAGCCTTCGTCTTTGCAGTCAAAGTA